CCTAAAGCATTCCTAGGAAAATGCTAGAAAAGCCTTTGAAAATCTCATAAACCAACAGAAAACGTGACAAAATCTACGAAAAAGCAAGGGCATTGGCCGGGACCATGCCGCGACCAGCCCGGGATTCGAGCCCAGGACCATTTTGGACCGTGCTTATTTTCCCGCGCGGGTCGAGAGGGTGCCCCAAGATGTAAATCAATTGGGATGGCAGAATCTTGGACAATCCAGGTCACCATCAGGTCGCTATCAGGTCGCTCTTAGGTCGCTTTTAGGTCGGGATTTCGTCACTGCAACAAGGGTCCTCAGGGGTAGGGGAGGTAAGGTCTAGGTCTAAGGCTAAGGACTAGGTCTAAGGCTAAGGATAAGGCTAAGGCTTAAGTCTAAGGCTAAGGCTAAGGCTTAAGGCTAAGGCTAAGGCTTAAGGCTAAGGCTAACGTCGACAGTCACGCCTCACCCCACGGTGTGGGGTCGGCGGATTCATTTCCTTTTGATTTTTTTGATTTCGTTTTGATTCCTTTTAACTTGTTTTTGATGTCCTTTTGATTTCCTTTTAATGTCCTTTTGATTCCTTTTGATTTCCTGTTACGGAGGCCCAAAAGATGGCGCGGTCGAATCTCCGCTTTTTTCTACAAAATAGGGCGCGTAATCATGGAGAACCTTCCTTTCTTTAAGCCACGGGGCGCATAGATGGCGCAACACACCTGAATGCCCCTGATACCTAAACCTGGCGCAATTAAAAAACGTCACCTCATCAATTTTCTCATCGGAGTATATGATGGGCGTTGAGGATTGTCAATCAAGAAAAGGATTCCAACCTCTGTGTCTCTCCAAGGTGGTGAACCGGCAGACCAGCCGTGCAAGTAAACTGGTTCGTCGTGTGCAGGGGCTGATCCAGGAGGTGCCGGCATTTGTGGAGGGAGAATGTGGAAGAGGCAGATGTCCACAACATACATAAACGATATGTAGCGGATTTCCTCCAAACAGATTCTTCCAGAGATTTTGGCCAGTACTATCTAGGCAATGCCAATGGTTGTCAGGGCACCAAGAGCCCCGAATTCAGACTTGGAATCTGGAATCCACAGTGTCACAGTCTCCTTGAAGTCTGACCAGTCTAGTGAAACCACTCACGTACACCGACCAGGCTTAGGTTTGAGGAGTGAATTTCTTCTACGAATCCATTGAAATCCTATTGGCTGTCTCAGATCGCATTGGTTTGAGCATGACATAGCTTGGGGATCTCTCCACCCAGTAGCAGGTGGGGTATACCGGTAATCGGAAGAACACATATGACATAGGATAGTTTCTGTGTCGATTCAGGTGGATGAGCTGCAAAAGTGCTTCAACGATCTTGGCCGAGGACCGCATGCATCAGATGGGTTTGTTGCAGACTGGAGCTCGTGTTCTAGCTTGTGTTTGGCTTGCCATCCCTCAAAAAGGAGGAAGTGATGTGCACTGAACCACCGAGCATTTCCAAAGTGCCAAGCAGCATTGAGCAGGGCTTTCCTGCTCCTTGCTAGCGACATCAGCATTTCTGAAATTCCTCAGCCAATTCCCCAGCCTGCCTGCTGAGTCGCGAGACGGGAGCGGGTGCAATAGGTGGGCTCACACCCTATGTAATCAAGGAACATCCTCAGTTCAGCATGTTTTGCATGGACGTAGGACTTCGTTCAAACTGACTCAAATTGAAATGTCAATCCTTTTTCACACTTTTTCCACAAAGTGGGGGTCTTCATGGCTGCATGGTACTAAGGATTTGTAATATTCTTTCATGGAGTTCAGTTAGACTCTTCTGACCCACGTCCTATGCCCAAGTAATCGACTCCTAGTTCCAGTAATTCAACTTGAAAATAGATCTAGGCCCCCCGTCTGCCGGTCTCCACCCGTCCTGTGTGACTGATGGGACCTATGTCTTCTCAGCAGGACTGACCCGCGAGCGGGTGGTCCAGCGCCAGCAAGATCAGCGACAACAGGAGCTGCGACAGCAAAAGAACGACTCAGTGCCCCAACCGCACGGTGGATCACCGTGAAAACAAGGAAGAGATGTTGTTGTTGGTCTACCTGGTTGATGTTTGCACGATGTTGTTCAGACAGTTCAGTGGAAAAGGGTGACAGGTTCTGAGTTGTTGAGGATCCAATGTTGAGAAATGAAGGAATCTGACGATCGAAGATTGTTCCCTCGTTGACTGAGCACTCGTGAGTCAGGGCGAGGATTTGAGGAAGTCCTTTGGGCTCTCGTAGTCTAGAAGTTTATTGGTACACATGCTAACTTTCTTAATTGATCAGAACCTGGGCAATCCCGGCTCCTTTTCGTTTTAAAATGAATCAGGCGCCTGCGATGGGTACTAATCAGTGAAGCTGTATCCGGCACCAAGTGTCCAACATGAGCTTCGGCAACACTTTCTCAGCGAAGAAATGATATCCGCAGTCATGCCAGGAAGGGGTGGCACATGAATATCTTTTCAGCCCCGCAAAAAGGTATTTCAAGGTAATGTTAGTCCATCAATAATTAGATCCGTTGATCTTTCCTTTAAGCAGTAGAAGCCCACATAGATGTGCATAATCTACCTCTTCTGCCGGACCTTGAGTCCTTGAGCGGATGTTTTCGCTGAGGATCTCTTCTACCAGGCCATGGAGCTGCAACGGCAGTTTGCACAAGTGAGAGTGAAGATGCAGTGAACCTGATGAGCCGAGGATAAGCTTTCCACAGACATCAGTGAGTTCAGTGAGTCACTCAAAACAAGGACGGTGCTGCGCAGCAGTGCCACAACATTCTTTCCCCCTCAGGTAAACATCTGACCTGGTGAGGTATGTCTTCTGGTGGCTTAGGCTATATAATGGTCGTGGCCCACATACGCATCCCGCTTCTCCACTCATGTGTTGTGATCATCGTCGACGGCTTGGTCATTTTCCAAAGAAACCACCATCTCTTTCAGTTCATTCCAAAGACCACAAAGACTGCTAGCGCTCCAGACTTGACACATTTGATTTTGATGTGGAGTTAGAAGGGAGGAGGTGTTGCTCAGCTTAGTTTGAAGTTTTCCTAATCATCCGCGGGGCCAACAGGTATTTTACATGGATGAAATTGGGCGATAGGGGGCAAGGCTCCACCAAGGCTCAGTTAAAAAGCCTTTTGCAGTTCAACGCTGAAGATAGCATTTGGTGGCCAAATTTCTGTTTGGCTTTCCTGATTTGACACAGCAAGCGTTTTGGGCATCCAGTTGGCGTGGAAGATGCTTTGGCTTACACCAGATCATTTTGTTCGATAGACAGTGCTGATCAGTGTCAGGTTGATCACGATGCGGTCTCTCCGCCGAACCGTAGCAGTTTGCGCCGAATCGCCTCAGAGGGGCAACCGTTGGCGCGTTGGCACTGAGAGTTCAGTGTCGTTAACGACGTTTGTGCAACGGCAGGCGTGAAGAGGGGGACTGACCAGCTTGCAGGGAACATCTGCAAAGCCGAGCAGTTAGGATGAACGGGGAAGGAGAAATCATTTGTTGAGTTCATTCCTTTCAAAAGACGAAAGTACACCTTTCCTGCCGACATCTTCAATTTGTGAGTTGCTCCTTCGATTTGAGTGAGCTTGGACTGTGAACCTTTGGACCTTAACCCGTTTCAGAACCTTCAGAGGCCCTTTGTTCCTAGTAGCGTCCTTGCTCCTAGTAGTAAGGCCAGGTCCTTTGTTCCTAGAAGCGAACCCTAAGGTTTTTAGGGGTTAGGGTTTTGAAACCCTAAGGTCCAAGGCCCTTTGTTCCTAGTAGCGTCCTTGCTCCTAGTTGTTTCATTCTGCTTTTCATTCTGTTAAGAAGACAAGCCCTCAGCGGAGTGCAAGGTCCCAACTTTCTCCTGGCCAGAATCAACCAACGAGCGACGCGGTTGGCTGGGGGGGGCCTCCATTTACGGTACAGTATATCGAAGAGTGTGTATTTAGCATTAGACTGTTGTCAACTATGACAATCCTGGAGTAGACACAAGATATATTAAGATAGAGCAATTCAAAGGGATGATCATTTCCCCTTCTATTTTCAGGTGAAGGGTCTCCTCCACACATGTCTGCTGCCGCCCTGATCGATGCTACAAAGACCTAGCAGAGGTCTCACGGTCTGTGAAACGTGACGCAGGTGCGTGCGATCTTCGGAAAAAAGGAGGTCTTTGGCATGGTTGGACAGGTGGAGTTGTTGGGCATGTGGTGGAAGAGCTCAACGTTCCAAGTCTAACTCGAGGTTTAGACCCTGGCTGTGGGAAGCTGCTGAAGGATGCCCAACCCCAACTGACGAAACACCCACAACCAATGGGTGAATGTCTTCAGGAGAGTGAGCTGTGGAAAGGGGTCATAGACCTCTCGCAGTGAGACCCCTGGCCCCGAAGCTTGGAAAATCACATGAACCAAGGACCTACGAAGGATATCCGTTGACCGTATCGCATCGCTCGCGGGCTCCCGCTCAACATCGAAGACCGGACAATCGATGTGTTTCGTGGGACAATTGCAGGTGTGAACCGTCTCACGCGAACACACCTGGCCGAGGCGCGAGGTGCTGTTGCTACGTACGGTGAAAACGCGATGCATCGCGATGCAGGGGAAGGTGTGACCTCGCCAGACATCACCAACGAATTACACATGCACCTCGGAGTTTGGCACAAAATGGCACATGTTCGTCTTGTTGTTTCCATGCCTCTGTGCTTGTTGTTTTCGGTGGCACCGAACAGGGCTCCGAAGAACGGGTCATTGGACTTGACCACACCGCGCTTTTCCTCAGATCTTCGCCTCGAAGAGACTACCAGCCTTCCAGCGCCAGGGCCCCGACTGGAACAGGGGTCTCAGGGGTCTCAGGACTTGATGTTTTTGGTAATGATATTCTTTTTTTGGATTGCACCTCTCCTTGCAAAGATGGGCTTTGTGGCCTTGTTGTTGCGGCTAGTAGCATCCCAAGTTGCCGAAACGAGGCTCACGAAGAGGGAAGAACCTTCAGGGGGGCAGTTCCTATATTGCATCAAGATGCTTCAAACTTAGGAAATCTTGGGAATGTCTCGCCATGAGGCCAATGAGTTTACTGTATTCCTTTTGGGGGGTCAGAGTATGTTGTGGAAGGCCAAAAATCGACACTTGCCCTGACTTGGGAGCTTTTCGGAAAGTCATCATGAGGCTTGATTCAAGCAATTGACCAAATCAGGTGGTTTTGGAGAATCCTAAGTTGTTGATTTGGTCACTTTCCTTTGCACATGGGCGCGGTCATTGGATGCGCTCACCCCTCGAAGAAGGGCACTTTGAGCCAATTCCCGAACATTAATGGCGGCAATGATGGTATGCCCGGGATAGGAATCATCCCCTTTGTTGGTGGGCATGTGACTTTAGAGGCAAAAGCCCACCGGGCCTTGGGTGGACACACCAGAAGTGGTGATATGAAATGCTCTGGCTTCGCGGTGCGCATACCACATCAGGTTGTTGCTCTGTTCACGCGTTTGTCGGGTATCGGTATGGGGCATTTGGATTGTTCAAAGAGCCAATGAGCAGGGCATAGAAGTATTCAACTAAATGGACGAGCAGTCGAACAAGTGGTTTGAGTGCCACCCAGGTGTTCAAGATTCTTTACTATAGAGGATAATGTAGCAGCGTAGCGGCACTGCGAGACAGAAGATTTCTGATTCAATGAGACAGCATTTTGTTTTGAGTTCCTCGATGTTTTTCACCCGCACGTCGGATCTGAATGGTTTAGACTGTCCGAAGAGTCCCCATCGCTTGCTGGTGGCACAGAACTCACAGTCGGGTTTCACTCTTCGATGCAATACTTTTTAAAGGTTGATACAATTCTTCAAATCATCATCCACCATGCAGTAGCGTTCATGCTTTTTACATTTTTTTTGCTTTTTAACCAGGACGAGTGATGGGTCATTTTAAACACGGACTTTCTTCAGGGGGTTCCAGGTTGGTGTGGTATACAGTATGGTTAAGGGTGCAATTCCCACAGAGGTCGGGCCCAAATGCCATGTCTTGGAGCACACTGTAGAGCTGCCACTCATCTTAAGGCAGAAAGTCCACTCATCTGCCACACTCTGTCTCCAGGCGTCGAGTGGATCGCGGATGACAAGTGTGTTTGCGTCTTTGCCAACAAAGAGGCAACGTGTGGGCAGGTTTGGACTCGTTTGTGGAAAGCTGGCCCTAAACGCATCAGGTCGAACCAAGAGGTGTTGAGTAGCACTTCCGAATCCGGGTTGGTGCGCTCGTTCTTCCGTCCGGCCAACGCGTTTGTAGACTTTGAGTCCGAAATTGAAAGGGTCAAACGGTGGAAGTGGATGGCCTCCAAACCTAATAGCGATGGCCTCCAGACCTCAAGCTTCTTCTTCTGTGATGCACAGTCCGAACTGCCGGCTCGAGACAGGCCGCCACGGGCAAGCCGTGAAATGATGACACTCTTTTGAAGCAACTTCGACTAGATCTAAAGACACGATTGGTGATCTAGTCAGTGCAAAGATCCCAGCATCCTTTCGTATCCTCGTTTTCAGGATTCTCCGCCGACTCGCCATTTCCACACCTGCGACTTGCAGCGGGGCTTGTCCTTGGACACCGCTCTCCATGGAGCTGCCTCCGGTGAATCAGGATGTCGTTGGGATCCAAGAGGCACGGCACCGAAGCGATGCATTCGTCTCGGGACTGGTGGAACCCTCAAAAGAATTCCCAGGACGCGATATACGTGGGACATATACTATATATATATATAGATGCCGACATGGATGCCTGAAAGCACGTGTCCGTTGCCCCCCTTCAAAACTCTCCAGAAAGCTAGAGGCACCAATGAATGGATGAGAAGATAGCAGGTTATCCAACTCGATCAAGACCTCCAAGCAAGGCGAATTCAGGTCTGAGAGCCTGGGCCCACAGTGCCCACGGAACTTCTGTGCTCCGACCGCTCCAGGCTTTGAGGTCTTACGGCGCGGCAGCGCGGTACTCGGCGCCCGACTCGCCCCCCCCCGCGGCGGCGGCGCGAGAAGCGCAGTCGGCGCCCAAAGTGGAATCCTACCCGGCCTTCTTGAATGTCCAGGCCTGGGTGATTTATTGCATTTGCAACCTGATTTTGTCTTGGCCTGGGTGGTTTTTTTAAGTGTTCGGACAGAAGAAGTTGGGGGATTGGAAGGATCCCAAGCCCTTTTTCGACTGCAAGGCCCCTCCAGAGGACCATTTGGAAGAGGTGCGGGAGAGACGCTTACGGCTGATGGCTCAAGAGAAGGCCCGCCGGCAAGCGCGAAATCGAAAAACTGCTGGCTATGCGATCCAAGAGCCTGGACAGCCACCAGCAGCATCGATTCTTGAAGTTGAGAACTCTTTCAACTGTTTCATCCCCGATGAAGGAACCTGCTTCAAGCAGGATCCCACGAACAACAGCAAAGGGTCGAGGAATGCTCCAAACTCATCCCGCGTTTCTGTGTGAAGTGCTCAGAATCTCTCTGATCATAGTGTTTGCTGCCCCTACCACCCAGGTATATGATCCTGGACCGGCTCCGGAGCCCAGACCAGCTCCACGGCCTGCAGCTCCGGAGCCCGGCTTTGCCGAGCGCGCGGCCGAGGCGGCCTTCGCTGCCCGGGTGGCACGCGGAGCGTACGAGCATCCGGGGAGCGTGGGACAGCGTGCGGACCCCGAGCTGGTCCAGCCGCGTCTGAGTCGCAACGACGACTTTAACGGCCTCTGGATGGATGACACCGGGAAGAGCTACGAGCTACAGCAGGTCGGCTCGGTGGTGACGGAACAGCGGCAGCAGAGCTATGGTATGGCCATGCAAAACGAGCTGACCATGTTCGGTGCCATTGGGACCCTGGTGGACGACCTCATCCGTTGGTCGGACGGCAGCGTTTGGGCACGCGAGGCGACGACGGGCGAGGGCGGCAGCTCCGGTCCGCACCGCTCGGGCGCCAACTTGGGCTCCCTGGGCGGCTTCGCGTGGAAGGCCGCGGCACGGCGGCAGCGCCTGGCGCCAGAGCTGCCAGAGCTCTTCACGGCGCCTGCAGGGCCAGGGCCAGGGCCAGACATGTCAGGGGACTGGGAGGAGACCAAACAGGAGAATGAGCAGCGCCTATGGTTTGCACCCTGGGTGCACGAGGGCAAGAGAGGCTTGTAATGTTTCAGACCAATTCGACGCATGCGATCCGATGCCGAGCCCACAGGTGCAGCGAGATGCGATGATTTTGTCGGAGTAGAAAAAGGGTGCATGGCATAGACCATGATAGACCCAAACCTGACTTCGAATCCTTCAAGTCAACCAACCTACGTAGTCAACAGACGGGTAAATTTGACCCGAGGTGGTCCTGGTTTTCCGGTTTTTGATCGCCCTAGTCAGCTCAATGGAATACTATGTACCCCGTCTTCTATCATACCAAAACTGCTTGAATGTCGATCGATGTTCATGAATGATCAGAATGAGGTCCTCATGAGGTTGATCCGTCTTGATCCATCCTTCTGAGCTCCTCACGCAAAAGAGACCTGCAGGCAGCATTGACCTGCCTCGCCGGGGCGTTGGATGGCTTTGAGGAGGCAGGGTGGGCGGCTAGGGCGGGCAAACAGTTTTGGTATTTTTGGTGGTTCTAGGTTGCCAAGTGCATTCTTGCAGGAGGAGTCAGAGTAGGAGGGATTCATCAGTTACAATTGGCCAGATTTACTCGTCCTGACGGTTTTAAAGGGCTGGGAACGTTGCAGTTACAGGGATACTTTGCATACGGGAATCACTCCCCGCCCAAACTAGTAATATGGTGTTTGTGTGCTCAGGTGGTTCAGCTTACATTTGGCTGGTTTCTTTGTTCAGGAAGTTGCTTGCAAAAGCATCAGTGACTAGATCGGCCTAGGGCGACTGAATCTAGGCTTCCGCATTGTCTGGAGTCATTGCCGGAGCCACTTCCGTCTGTCAATGTGAGCAGTGGGCCAGCCAATCTGTCTCGCCTCCGCGATGAAGGGGGTCTCCATTCAGATGGAGACTGGGGATGCCCCCAGGTGGCAGACAGGCTGCAAGCACTGCGGCAGCATTGGCTTTCGCGCTTTCAGTCCTGGCGCCAGCACGTGTCCAGTACGAAGCGGGGAGCCTTGCTGAATGACGACGGGTAGGTTGGTCACCTGCGTGCAGAACTGTCAACTCTTCTGCCAAGCATGGGCTTTCCTTGTTCAACATTGGTCGCTGGCGGCCAGCCGCTGGAGATTTGGGATGCTTTGGCTTGTTTCTTGCGCGATGTTGACATCAGCTTGCCGGCGTATCTGCGGCACGGAGCGGCCCTCCTAATATACATGATACTGACTGATTTGGTTGCCGCTGATGTTGAGGCTGGCTTTGCAGGGTGGCTTCCTGGCAGCTGAGAGAGGAGGTGCGTGCGCGTTTTGAGCTTGGGCTGGTTAGCAAAGAGAAGATGCTGAGCCTCGCTTGATAGGTGATTTCACGCTTTCCAGCGCCAACCTTGCATGTCGCATTGGTGAGCGGGTGGGGTACCCCAGCCCTTAACCCTCGATGCGCGCGCGGCGTGGAAGCGAGTGCTGGTGGCGCCAAAAGAGCAAGGCCTGTCGTTGTTCGTGGCTGTGAGCGGAGCAGGTAACAAGGGCTGGCTAGCTTTACAAATCTTGCCATGTCGGGTGTTCGTGGCAGTGGCTGGGTTCTTTGCGCAGAGGGCTCATCAACTGCTTTATCACTTTCACTTTCTGACAATGTATGTCGACGGCTTGTTGGCGCCGTTTCCGGCGCACTGCGCGTCAGTGATGGCGTCTCTGAGTCAACTCCTAGCGCAATTGGGCAGAGGCACGTCACTTCGACAGCCGGAAATTTGCACCCCGGCTGTGTCTGGGCGAAACTTGCCGGCGTGTGAAGCTGCAGCGCCGGGTTTTGTGGCGGCCGCGGATGCATTAGCTACGAGTGAGGTGGCTGGTCTCGACAGCTGGTTTGTGCTGCCGGGTCTTTGCTTGACCTCGGGCAACCTGCGTTGACTTAGCGTCCAGATTGGAGTGGCAGATTTGCCCGACTTCCTGGTTGAGGGCTCCGGCTCCAACCTGCAATCCGTCATTGCATACGCAGCTGGTTCCATTGTTTAAATGCAGGGCGCTGCTCCAGTTAGGTTAGTGTGGCCTCCACGCTGTTGCAGCGGTCGCTCTGGGGTTTCGTCAGCCCACACGAAGCACTCTGGTTGGGGGCCCGTTTTTTTGGCGACGGCTTTTCTTTGGTGGACAGCTCCCTGACTGGTAGCAGCCTCACGCAAGTGTCGCCAAAAGCCGCTTGGGTTTCGGGCTATGGGAACGTTGCAGGCATACTATGAATAAGGGAACCAGTCCACGCGTAAGCTAGTAATACTCTGGCGTTTGTATGCTCAGGTGGCCCAGCTTACCTATGACAGGTTTCTTCATGCAAAAAAGCACAAACTTGTTGGTAGCGGGAATTCTTCTAAATTTACTTGTGGATATCCAGACTGCTACCAGCTCAGGGAAGCTCCCTGCCTGGTAGCAGCCTGGTGCAAGTGTCTCCAAGAGCAGCTGGGCTTGGGGCTGGGTGGATGAATCTTTGGCAGGACCCCTTAATTTCCATCCCATCGTGAGGGGAGCGAAAAGCCGGGCCCTGGGCTCTGGCGCGCGATCCGTGGCATGATGGACTTCCGACAGGTGGGATGGGTTGGGGCCTGGTGGGGTGGGGGCCCTTTGGGATTGGTATACAGTATTTGCAGTATCAGAAGTGTTTGAACTCGCCCTGTGGAAGTCTTTCATTGTGGGGATATTGATTCCCCAAGCACATCCAAGAGAGAGTGGGTGGGGTCATCAAGCGTCTCTGCATCAGAAAATTTCATGTGAGACTCAATTCATGGCAGATCCATAGAACTTCTGGGGTACCTCCAGAGTTTCCTGGATCATGCACATCAGCGGGGGAAGTTTGATTTGAGTCCTAAGCCACAATGGAAGTTGTCTTTCACCTCCTATCAGAATTCATTGATGTGATCCATCAACTGATCATGCTTCTTGGTCAACAAGAGTTCCTCCAGCATGAGCACGTTGAGGCAAACATAGCGATGTGCTGGTTGCCACTTTTCAGAACTGAACATCCATTTGCAAAATTTGTGATGTTCATCACGTGGGCAATACGTCGCACATCATCAAATCATTTTGGCGCAGAAAGGCTTGGCTTTTACCGTTGTCCATCATTCTGAGCTGAAATCCTATAGATTGCGGCTTGTTCGGCTGAGGATTTTTGTAGAATGTGAGCATCGGCACTCGATTTTTCCCGAATGCGTAGCGAAGGGTTCCCGTTTATAGTTGGGGGTCTGGGGGTTGGAGCTGTGTTTGCATGGCTTGCGTCGTGTCGTCGTCTCTCGTCGTCTCTCGTCGTTTGTCGTCGTCGTCGCGTCTCAAATTCGAGGCCATTGGGGGAAGCTTTTGCAAGTGACTTTTCATGGATGTGTCACGTGTCAGTTTGTGCCGCTATTACATTGTGATTTGCATGACAATGACATGTCGCGCAAGAAACGTGATGCATTTCGCTGCACAGCACAGGCGCAGCGTTTTGTGAGATCCGCAGTTTTCTGCGCAGCTCCATTGAGATTAGCGTTTGGAGAGTCGTGTTTTTGGGGTGTTGGATGTGGCCGTGCCATTGGGATTTGCGTTTCAGGGTGTGGCATCAAAGCTCTGTTCACGAAAACAAGTCTCAGCTGTAATGGCGATTTTGGTGGAT